AATTAACTTATAATCTTTTAGTAAAATTATAATATGACAAAAATACACACTTTCAACATAAATAACATAAAAATTACAAAAGAAAAATAATAATAATTTAACAATAAGTCTAGCTAATCCCGAGGTCACATCCTATCAGAGCGAAACCCAAACAGAAGCCTAAGCTTCACCACCAACATCCTCAGCCTCATGCTAATTATCTGCATTATAATTTAAATATACACAAAAATGACAAGGGAGTGAGAAACTTCTCACTCAGTTGCAGATATAGAAATAAAAGTTAAATAGCGCACACACACAATATATTACACATATATAATCAATATCACATATATGCTATGTATAATGATTTTCTTGACTTGATTCACTAATGTATGCAGATCGGAAGATATTGTGTGCATTACTAATTCAACACTTTTGTTCCTTAAATCAATCTTCCACACAGACATAAAGTGATAATTAAAAATATTGTTCTACTCCTCAATAGAATGACCATAAACTCAATATGAGAGAATTATATCTTGTATATGATGTGTGAAGGTGTGTCAAGGTGATGGTGTGTCAAGGTGATTGAGGTTTTGAAAGGTGATGGTGATGTTGTGGAAGTTGGTGATGATGTTGCCATCAGGGAAAACGACAATGTTTCAAGTTTCGAGAAGGATTCTAATGTGGAGAGTGAGATCGTTGATCTTGAGGATATTGCTGGTAAAGCTCCTTAAGAAAGTCAGTGACTAATGCAAGGAGAGTAAGGGTCACTTTCACTTAACATGGATATATTTGGTGTACTAGTAGGCACCCCTTCGGTCAGGCAATAGGCCGAAAGGGGTGCCCTAGCCGACGAAAACACACCAGTTGACACTCCTTTGGTCAGGCAATAGGCCGAAAGGGGTGTCCGAGCCGACGAAAACACACCACCCCTTTGGCTGGAGGATGGGCCGAATACACCCTCTCGCCCAAAGGGGATACCCCAGGACCCCCTTACCACTAGAAGTGAACATCCAACAAAACCTCTCGGTATTAACCTAGGCCGAACACCTCTTCGGCCTTGGGGAAGGCCGAACACCCTTTCGGCCTTATGCCTAGCCGAGGACTTCAACAAAGAACAGATCACAAACAACAAGTGGCAAGTTAGATACTTATTATGCACTAATTACCATGCCAGATTAAGAAGAGATTAAGGTTAACTCAAGTGTTACCCATCACCCAAGACTGAAGGCACACCAGGCCCAATTGTGTCACTATAAATACACAGGTGATGTGACATAAAAAAGGTACGTTATTATCCAATATAAAGCCTTTATTTCTCTGAACCGAATACTTACTTGATCGTCGGAGTGCCTTTGCAGGTACCCTCCCCCACCCCTCGGAGGTAGTATTCGGTCGGCACCGAAGACTTAGAAGACTGCAAGGAAGAAGATACCAGAGGAGTGTTTCTACGCAGGAACATTTGGTATTGCAAAATTAAGAATAATTTATATTACTTAAAAGTTAAAACTATTAAGTATAGGGACTATTTTGTAATTATAAACAAATCACAAAACTAACTACGTACTGCTAATAAAATTAATGCCTCACGGGTGAAACACGCATCAAACTACTTCACCTTATAAGCGTTCAACATTTTATATTTTGTAGTGTTGTACATTGAAATCAAATTAGATACGGAGAGTTTCCAATATCTGATACACCGGGACTGTTCAACCAACTAATAAGCTAAACTTCCTCTATATGCAACTTTTATATTATAAATATTTTGTGTATAAAAATACCTGCCTACACCAAAACAAAATGGTATATAATATATATATTAGACCTTTGTTAGAAGAGAAGTACATTGATTTTATTATTATTATTATTAGGTATAAAGGAAAATTGTTAGCCTTCTTCCCATTTATTAATATATGGGTGCAAAAATAAAGAGAGAAAAAAATGATAAATGATAAACTATATGATTATAATATAAAATAAGCCATAGTAGCAAATGAATTACATACACGTAACAATAAGAAGCTTTTTATTGTAGAAATCAATAACAGAAAACTGAATACATGTATCTTTATTTCATCCCATGAAAATGAATGATCATAGCTCCCTCCGTATATGTCAATTCCTTATTTTATTACCATGAAAACAACTTGTCATGAACAAGTGTAAACCCCACAATGTTGAAACTAATCATCCTTCTTCTGAAACACAACAGGGAGAGGAGTACCATCCAAGGCAAACAAAATCCTCCCATTCTCACGCAGAATGCCACCAGTGCCACAGATGAACCTACAAGTAGGGCACACTTCCGTAGGGCACCACTCGATGTTATACAATGTTCCGTTTTGTGTTATTCTGAAATAGTTACTATACGATCCTGTTCTATTGTCTCTTCCAGTTACAACGAGTCTCCTCCCAGTCGTGGTGTCGTTCTCACCCACCCTCCACTCGGTGGTTTGCACACAGATCGAGGAAACTTCCACGAACGTCACTCTCAGATCCCTGTTGTTCAGAATATGTTTAAACATATTTTACTTTGAAAAAAAATGATAATTCAGAATTTAAAAAATTTGTTAATGTCTGAATTTTTCAATATATTGCTTAAATATCGTGAGTTAGTACAAATGATTTAAGATTCAGTCTGAAATTATATTTTTCATGACGCAAGTTTGATATCCTGTGACTATAATATTATTCCTACTTTGATAGTGATATACCTAGTCAAGGAGATTACTTGGAATGAGAGTGATATTTCTCTAATAAATTTCTATTGATTCTCGGTCCACTAAGTAATAGTTCCAAGTCTAACAACATATTATTGAATATTGAATTTGGACAAACAATTAAATGAATAATGATATTTGATTTAAGAATCCTTAAATATCATTGACTCTCTATTTGATAGCCACAGGCAGGATGTCATCATTTATCTACCATTTTAAGCATTAAAAAGAATAACATATATAACTAAATACATGTTTACATTTGTAAAAAGTATTTCTACTAGCTAAATATTACAATTTTTTAAGTGTTTAATATTATTTTTTAATCAAAATTAAAATTTTATATTAATAATATACGTAAATGTATATTAATAAAAATAAATACATATTATTAAGATAAAACTTTAATTCTAATAGAAAATATAAACCAATCATACCTAAGGAAGTTTAACTAAGTTTTGTTTTATTTTATATTGACTGAGATTAATCATGAGAACATCATATTTGACCCTCTTTGTTTCACAATTGACCTTGCAACTACCAAAATTACTGACTTAATTTTAAATATCATCAATTTGATTCTAAAACAAAATAATTTTACTATATTAATTTTTGTATTTCAGTTCAACATATGAAGGTAGCTAACGAATGAAAAGATATATGAAACTCTTATATCAAAAGCACATCTCAACAGGAACAAGTACAAAACAATTCATTACCTATTAACCCTCACGTCGTCGTCGTCAGTGGCGAAAGGGGTGAATCTCACGGGGTAGCCCTGTGGCGTGTCGGTGTTTTCGAGGCCCACGTGCAGAGGGCACGTGCCGTTTCGGTCGATCAAGGTGAAACGGCCTCCGTTGTCCGTTATCGCTGGCCTTATGTAGTACTCCTCGTCGCTTTCGAGGGGTTCGTTGTTTGTGTCGAGAACGTAGTTGGATTGTGCCAGTGATGACGTGGCAGTGATTAGCCACACCGCAAGGGTGAGAGAAGCCCACAACTTCATCGACATAATAGCTATGATCGCAGAAATGTGTTGTGTTGTGTTGTGTTGTGAATGAAGGTTTGGTGAGAGGGTTTATGGGTTTTGTGATGATGATGATGATGTGTGTGGTTTTGAGGTTGTGAGGGAGGGTATTTATAGGGTGTGGTGTGGTGCATGCCGTACGCGTGGTACGTTCATGAGTAAAAGTCCGACATGAGTTATCTGATTAGAGGTTGCTTGTACCTTAAGGTTGTGATTATGTTGAGACAAACGTTGCCTTGGGGGAATTGTGGTTTATTTGTCAAAGATAGAGGTTTGATTTGAATATGCTATGTTTTGTAGAGTTTTTTTACTTCACCAAGAGAAAACCATCAAAATTGAAATTTTTCCTGAGACGGCCAATCGGCCAGACATTCTGGAACAACTTAAGAGCTTATTTTTTATGGCATTGATTGAGAGATATAAGACTATTATGTACCATGAAAATTATTTAATAAGAACTTGAATTGAAGACCATTAGTTAAATTAGAATGATGTTGAATTATGAGGATTTTAGTATAAGTTTCTCCATAATTACTTTTAGGAAAGAAATAGGAAAATAATTTAAATATATTTTTTCATAAAATAATAAAGTTAGTTTATGTAAGAGCTAAAAATAAGATTTTGAAGATGTTAATTGGATAGAATTTTTATAAATTAGTTTACATAAAAATTAATTTTAATTTATGAAAAAATTATTTTATTTTTTCTTCTTATTTTTTTTTTTTCACTTAGAATTTTTTATGGAGAGTTTTACCCAAACTCACCTTAAAACACTTGTTGGGTAGCTTTGTTTTAGGAGTAAATACTCTAGACTGAACAGCTTGCATTTAGTTTAAATTTTATAAATGTATCAAATCTTTTAAGTGTACTTAAATGCCAATTTACTCCATAAAATTGTATCTAGCTGCTCTATTAATCCTTGAGAGAAAAAAAATGTTTCAAAATTTTTAGGATTTTATTTAAATCCCCAGATTTTTAGAGTTTCATTTAATAAGTTTTTAAAATTATTCTCTCTCTCTCTCTCTCTTTTTCATGTTGGTCTTTCTTTTAAAAAATTTAAATGATAATAATAACATATGTTTAGGGATTAGGATTTTAAAATTTAATTTAATTAATGAATAATGAATATCAATATGACAATGAGAACAAAATTTTGTATTTTGAAAAATAAGAGAATTAAATATTTTTATTTTAAAATAGAGAGATTAAAATTATAGATAAACAAAAAAAAATCAAAAGTATAATTTAATCAAAATAGATTAACTATCGAAAATTAAAAGAATAAAAAATATTTTATATATAATTTTGATTTTACCGGTGCAAACAAAAGAAAAATCTTCAGTGAGGAGTCTGAGGATTGACAATTTATCAAAATAACTGATCGATGTTCCTAAGTATGTATTTATATTACTAAAGTGTTTGGATCAATAACACCTAGTTCCACCTTAATAAGTAATATTGAATTTAAACATTAAGGATACAATTGTATTAATAAATATTTTTAATCATAATTTTATCACTTATAATAGTCTTATTTTAAGTAAGATTATCTCTTAAAAGATATATATGATTTCTGGAAGAAGAAAAAAAATATAAAGAAAAAGAAGAGTTGAGTTTTCAATTTCAATGTGGGTAAATGTTGTAAAGCTCCTACAATCTATCAAAATAGTTGCTAATAAATTGTATGATATTCAATTTTTTTTTTGTTTAAAAAAAATATGATATTCAAGTTACATGGTTGCTAATAATTTATATGATATTGAAGTTTTTTTTTTTTTTTTTTAAATGATATTCAAGTTACACTTTAATATATTTTTTCTTCTGAGAAGTGGGTAGGGATAATTGTTGAGAATTCTATTTCTCTATTCAGAGAGGGTGCATTTACTTGCTAATATGAATTTGTTTTTTTCCCTCATTCTTATGCCAAAGAATGGAGTTTGAACCGGCAATTCTCAATGTAAATCATATGGATAACTGAAACCGTTAGGAAGGTATATATGTCTCCCCTCACATATATAAGAAAGAAATGTTAACTATACTGATATATAAAAAATGTCACCATAAATATAAAAAATGGAAATATAAATCTAAATATAAATCTATTTGATATATAATTATACATAATTTTAAATAAAATTTAATAATATATATTATTAATCATTATAATTTATATATATACTTTTTAACAATATATCAATATATCTAATATTTATAATATAGATAAAAATAACTTTTAATGATAAATATTTTATCATTATAAAATGTATGTTATTATATAACAATTAATTTTATGGTATAGTATAGATGTTAAGTTTTAGAACAAATCAAATGTAATTAATGTAAATCAATGCTAGTTCACGTGTGATTTAGTTTGCTTTTATGTCCCTAAGATATATAAATCTGATCTGACAACCATTTATTTGGTTGTAGCTTCTGCAATGTGTGTGTGTGCCATAGGATACGAAAGAGAATTGACATTTTTCAAAATGAAAGCTTTAGAATCAACTGCTTTTGATGAATGAAAGAATTACTTGTATTTTCACATTTTACTAAATGCATGTATTTGAAAGGCTTATTAAGCACCAAGTTTTTAAAATTATGTAACTATTGTGCCTTTGTCAAGTTAATTGAGATTTATTTAAGCTAGAATAGAATTAAGAAATTCCAATAATTATACTGATCTTCCTCATTTTGTTCCGGTAATGTGAATCAATTGTTGGAAGGGGTCTTTCAATCGTATAATTGATGTCTAAATCACTTTTTTTTTATTTTATATTGCGCTCATAAATTATGATATTCAAGTTTCTTTTTAAAAAAACATTATGATATTCAAGTTACACTTTAATAATATTTTTTTCTTCTTCTGAGAAGTGGGTAGGGATAATTGGTAAGAACTCTATTTAATTTAAAAAAAAATTATTTTTTTTAGAAAAAATAATAACTATAAGAATACTCATTCCCGTATTAAAGAATCTAAATTTTGTGATTAATTAAAAGTCATAATTGAAATAGCTTAATATATATGCGAAATCGTCTTTTTTTTTTATTCTTCTTTTCATATAATTATTAATTAATTTCTCAAAAAATAAAATAGAAAAATAATTTTTTAAATAATATAAATTGAAAACAAACAATATGCTTGTATATCTACAAGATTAAACCATAATAGGAGCTTTTATAATAATAATAATAATAATAAGTAGTAGTAGTAATATTGGATGTAAAAAAAAAAAAAAAGATAAAATATTAATATTATTTTATATAACTAATAAAAATAATTTTTTTACTGTTTTATTTTTTTTACTATAAGTAGATAACATTATTTATTATACTTAAACATTAAATATATTATTATTACATATATGATACTATAACAAATAATGTATAATATTTACGTGACTAATCTAACATATTATTAGGCTTAAAGAAAATTTTGAAGTAATTTTTTAAATTAATAATAATATCTTTTGCTAAAAAAAATAAGAATATTTTAGCAATGAATTTTGAAAAAAAAAATATATTTATATATATTTTAGAGATGGGTATTTTAAAATGATTTTTAATAATGTAAAAAATAATTTTTAAGTTATAAGAATATTGAAAAAATATTATATAAATATTAGTATAAAATACTTTTTTAAGGGTGTTTAAAGTGAAGACTTTGTTTGTCTAGTTCTTGAGTCAGTCCTGACATATCTCTTAGGTTTAAATCTAGATTTTGATGAATAAAAAAATATTTAATGAGATATAGTCTATTATATAATAATTATATTATTATTATATATTATGAATAGGGAGTAGATCGGGCAAGAAAACTCAATGTTCGAGACATGATTATAATATGATTTGTATCTTTTCTCTCTTACGACTAGACTTCTTTATGTAAACCTACTACAAGAACATGATGCATTCATTGCAGGGATTGAATGTAACTATCATCACACATCCTAAATCAAATTACAAATTCAAGCAAAGATAAGGCAAGGCCATATGTCGGTCTGTTGAATGCTTTAAGAAATTCGACATTTTAACAATAACATAGAGACTAGGTCAAGTTTGAATTTTGCTCTTAGGTTAAACAAATGTGGACGCTGGTACCTTTTTTTGAACCACAAACTTTGATGATGTTATTAAGTTGAGAAAACGGGGAGGTGATTTTTGTCACGTACTAAAAGGACATCAATTTCAATCGTCTCACATATGGCCAAAACAGCCTCTTAGTTCAAATGTTTAATTTTAATACGAAAACCCAAGTCAACTCCGAAAATTAAAGAAAGAAAGAAATCTACTTTAATATTTAAGATTTTAAATAAAAATATATCATCTTTGCAGGAAACATTGAATAATATGCACTTATTATTATTTTATCAAAAATATTTCAGCAATTTTCATGGTGTGTAATTAATGTTACTAAGTACTATTAGCATTTGAATATTCAACTCGTGATCATGCTTTTAGGTTGAAACTTGAAGACATGTATCGGAGAGATTGTGAAGAAATGAGAGGGAGCAGATGAATCAACTGTAGTTAATTTATTTGTGTAATTTATTTGTTTGGTAGCATACAAATATAGAGAAAGATTTAAGAAAAATGCCCACGCGCATATCAACTTCCACTCTTAGGAACAAAGAAAGGCATAAAAATTGGTTGCTTAATCACCTTTCACAAAATTAACTTCGTTAACTAATTCTTATTCTTCTCATTTAATCGATTCAATGTGACATAATTCTATTATGTTATGTGTTTTTATTGGTAAGAAATACAACGATTGTAATTAGATTTGAATCTAAAATCTTGTATATATTATTACAATTTTTCTTCCTCACATTTTTAGGTTAACTTTAATGGTTCTATTTTTTTTTTTATCAACAAACAAGAATTAAATAAAAAAGGTATTGTACTATCCGTACCGCGAAGCCGAGCTCCAGCTTGGCATCACAGCGCAGAACGACTTCGGATACGCACCTCGGACACGCGCTGGGAGACCTCGGCTAAGACGAGATCCGTTACCTAAATAGGTCATAACTGATCTCAGGCCCAAGGCCCAGCGAAACCCTAATTCACACAAAGGTACGTGCATTACTAATACGAGACTCATACATCCACAAATACTAACTTTAGCATCAGAGTCTCTTTTGCAGGTACCACCCCCATCTTGGAGCATCAAACGTACCAGTGAATGAGGCCCGCCGACCTTATCCAGTAGATCGTCCCCTACGACCGATCTCCGGTAAGAACATTTGGCGCCCACCGTGGGGCCGATCAAGATAGCTCTTATCGGCCACGCTTATGGTTTTCACTCGAAGTCATAGTAGACGAGCAACAGACGACGTCGATCACACGACAAACATGTACAATGAAGTAGCATTGAGAAGGCTGATCGAGCAGGTAGAACAAATGCGGCAGCAGCACACCGCCGATCTGCAAAGCATGCGTACCAAGCACGAAACTGACCTAGCAGCGTTGCGAACCGCTAACGAAGCTGACCTAGCGGCGCGCTTCGCGCCCAACTTCCTCGGAGCCCTTCTGATCAACCAGCTCAACCTAGTAACCAACACGAGGAAGAGGGGCATTCAGTTTCTCAACCACAGACAGCACCTAGGGCACCGACTCCCAAGCCTGCCACACCTCCGTCACACGCACCGACGAACAGGTCGGCCCATGAAGTCAGCATTGCTCCCGCCCAGGCTCCTGGCAATCGAGCGAGCATCCGCCGCCATCCTTTTGTGGATGGCATTATGGAGACCCCCCTACCTTTCGGCTGGAAACCCCTCAACATCGACCGCTACGACGACATGACGGTTTTGGATGAGCACATCGACCTGTATATTACGCAGGTAAACCTTTACACTAATGACGATGCTATTCTATGTAGGGTTTTTCTGACCTCGTTCAAGGGGGCTGCACTCAACTGGTATACCCAGTTACCTGCTGAGTCGATTGACAACTTCGACACCTTGGTAAGGCGATTCACGGCGCAGTATGCCACGAGTCGCCCTCACCACGTCACCTCCGCCGCCTTGGCCAGTCTTCGACAAGGCAACAACGAATCACTGAGGGCGTTCATGGAGCGCTTTGCCAGCATCTCAGTGAAGATTCAAAACCTGAACCCCGAGGTCGCCCTGCACGCCATGCTCATGGCGCTCAAGCCAGGCCCTTTTGTGGACAGCCTATGTCGCCGAGCTCCTGCCGACATGGACGAACTCCACGCCCGAGCTGTAGGGTACATACATATGGAAGAACACTTTGCTTTTCATAACCAGGTTCACGGAAAATCACAAGCGAAGCCTGACCATGGTCACAAAGACAAGATGAAGGTCACCAATGACAGCCAGTCCAAGAAGACTGCCAGGGCAAATAAGGGGGGAGATACGACTTCTACACTCCCCTGAATACGCCCCGAGTGCACATCCTGGAGGAGACCAGCAATGGCAACCTGCTCACCCTGCCACCACCAGGTCACAACCCCAACAATGCAGACAAATCCAAGCACTACAGATACCACAGAAACCACGGTCACACCACTGAAGAGTGCCGCACACTCCGAGACCGTATCGAGGAACTCGTCCAGGCAGGTCACCTCGGCCAATACGTCTAACGATAGCAAGGTCACAGAGGGGGCTATAATGGACGAGGACGAGGCAGAGGTCGTGGTTCGGGAGCTCGCACGAACCAACCCTCTGGATCTCAGTAGAATGTCGGTGGTGCAGTGCAGGCCGAGGTAAGCCAGGAGACAAGGTCAGCTCCCCTACGGGGAGTAATCAACACAATTGCAGGAGGCTTTGCAGGGGGAGGATCCAGCAGCTCGGTGCGAAAAAGACACATGTGCAGTATCAACAACATCTACTTCGCTACCTCGGCCTCGCACCAAAGCTCACCGTCGATCACCTTCACCGACGACGACTACACTAACATCTGCCCCAACCAGGAAGATCCAATGGTCATCGTCGTGGAGGTCGCTAATTGAGAGGTCCACAAGACGTTGATTGACCAAGGAAGCTCGGCTGATTTCCTATATTGGCCGACGTTCCTCAGGTTAGATATCCCTCACTCCCTTATCCAACCTCACACAGAACCACTAGTTGGATTTGCAGGAGAGCGAGTACACACTCGAGGATATGTGGACCTACTGACAACCTTCGGAACCTCTCCCGAAAAAAAGGAGGATTATGGTCCGATACCTCCTCGTGGAAGCCAACACCTCCTACAACATAATCATTGGGAGGCCGACGTTAAACCAACTTGGAGCAGTGGTGTCTACCCCGCACCTCACCATGAAATTCCCAGGGAGTGATGGCAAGATTATCTCCGTCAAGGCAAACTAGAAGATAGCTCGGTAGTGCTACGCCGAAAGTCTGAAAGTCTCTTCATCCGACGAGCGTTGCCGAAGTGATCCCCCCACAGTGGCTCACATCACCCGCGTGGATATTACTGACCTGGATCCGAGGTCGGACTCCCATGATGAACGACCGAGTCCCATCGACGAGCTCGATGACCTCCAGATCAGAAAACTTCCTAGGCAAGGCACGAAAATCAGCAGGCAACTGAACTCGGAGTTACAGCGACAGCTCGAAGCTGAAATCTCCAGGAACGCCAACCTCTTTGCATGGTCCAGCGCCGACATGCCAGGTATAGATACTAACTTCATTTGTCACAGGTAGGCAATTCACAAGGAGGCGAAGCCAGTCGCCTAGAGGAAGAGGAAGGTCGGTGGTGAAAGGCGGGAGGCCATCATCACCGAGACGCAAAAGCTACTGAACGCAGACTTCATCCGTGAGGTTAGGTACACCACGTGGCTGGCAAACGTGGTCCTGGTGAAGAAGAACTCGGGGAAGTGGCGCATGTGCGTCGACTACACTAATCTGAACAAAGCATGCCCCAAGGACTCGTACCCCTTGCCGAGCATCGACAGGCTGGTTGATGGAGCATCCGGGCACGCCCTGCTCAGTTTCCTTGATGCTTACTCCTAGTACAACCAGATCATGATGTACCCACCAGACGAGGTGCACACGTCATTCATCACCGATCACGCCAACTACTGCTACCGAGTGATGCCCTTCAGTCTCAAAAACGCAGGGGCCACCTACCAACGGCTGATGGACAAGGTTTTCCACCAGTAGATCGGACAGAACATGGAGGTCTACGTCGACGACATGGTGGTCAAAACCACCTCGACCGAGTCCTCACTAACAGGGGGATCGAGGCCAACCTGGAGAAGTGCAAAGCCATCATCTAGATGCAGAGTCCTCAAACGGTGAAGGAAGTTCAACGCCTGGCAGGAAGGCTGGTTTCCCTGTCCCGTTTTATCCCCAGGCTCACGGAGAAAGCAGGGCCCATCTTCACTCTACTACGAAAGCCAAAAAATTTTGAGTGGACAGATCGGTGCGAAGAGGCTTTCAAGAGCTTCAAAGCCTTCCTAACGACTCCGCCAATTCTCTAGAGGCCGGATCATCAAGCCGACCTCCTCCTCTATCTGGCCGTGGCAGAAGGCGCGATCAGCGCAGTTATAGTGCAAGAGAACTAGAAAGTGCAGACGCCAGTCTATTTCATCAGCCGAGTCCTCCAGGACACCGAGAAACGATATTAGACGATTGAAAAGCTTGCACTGGCACTCGTCACCGCAGCTCGACGTCTCCGACCTTACTTTCAGAGTCACCTGGTTATAGTCAAGACCGACTACCCAATCAAGCAAATCCTGAGAAAGCCAGAACTCGCCGGGCGGATGATAGTGTGGTCGGTCGAATTGTCTGAGTTTGACATCCAGTATGAAAGCCGCGACGCTTTGAAAACTCAATGCTTAGCTGACTTCGTGGCCGAACTGACGCCAACCTCGGTTGAGGAGCCATAGGTATGGACTTTGTATGTTGATGGGTCCTCCAACTCTAAAGGTGGTGGGGCAGGTATCATCTTGGAAGGGCCGAACCAAGTCACCTTGGAACAATCTCTCAAGTTCGGTTTCAAAGTGATGAACAACCAAGCAGAGTACAAAGCACTTCTCGCAGGGCTAAGGTTAGCCCATGATCTCGGAGCACGGAGAGTGAGTTGCAACAGCGACTCAAAACTCATGGTAGAGCAGCTCAGCGGGACATACCAGGCCAAGGATGTTCTTCTACAGCGGTATTTCCACATGGCATCACATCAGATCTCGTCCTTCGACGAGTTCACTATATAGCATTTACCGCGAGAGAAAAATACCAGAGCCGACCTCCTATCAAAGCTCGCCAGTACCAAACGCCCTGGACAGCATCGGGCCATTATCTAAGAAACCTTGCGTTCACCCAGCTTGGACGACAAAGTCGTCAACACCAGCGACAGCGAAGAACAAGGGTGGATGACAGGTATTTGGTACTACTTGAAGGCAGGAATTTTACCCGAGGATAAAGATGAAGCTCAGAAGATGAGGGGAAGGTCGACTAAGTTCGTAATTGTCGGAGACGAACTGTTCAAGCGTGGCATCTCCACCCCTTTACTCAAATGCTTGACTGCACCTCAAGCAGCTTATGTCATTGAGGAGATCCACCGAGGTATATGTGGAATGCATTTCGGAGCGTGCTCGATGGCAGCTAGGGTACTCCGAGCTGGGTACTACTGGCCCACCTTGAAGTCGGATTGCCAAGTCTACGTGCAAAAATGCAAAGAGTGCCAGCAGTTCGGCAATGCGCATCGACAGCCACCCGAAGCTCTCCACCAGATGATGTTCCCGTGGCCTTTCGCCCAGTGGGGAATAAACATCCTAGGACCTTTCCCCCCCGTGAAAGGTCAGCTCAAATTCCTCTTGGTGGCAATCGACTACTTCACCAAGTGGATCGAAGCGTGCCCACTCTCCAAGATCACCATTGAGAATATACGGAAGTTTACCTGGAAGAGCATCATATGTAGGTTCGGAATTCTGCATTCCCTTGTCACCGATAACGGCCGACAATTCATCGCGCAAAACTTCGAAGACTTCCCTCGGGAACTTGGAATTAAGCACCTCCCGACCTTGGTGGAACATCTGTAAACTAATGGCCAAGCCGAAGCCGCAAATAAAGTGGTACTCCGAGAGCTTAAGAAGCGACTAGGGAATGCCAAGGGACAATGGGCTGACAAACTTCCCAGCATCCTCTAGGGTTACCATTGCACCCCTTGTCAACAACGCAGGAAACGCCTTACAGGCTGACTTATGGAACTGACGCCATGATCCTAGTGGAAGTCGGGGAGACATCTCACTGACGTCAAGTCCTCAACAGCGAGCAAAACGCTCAAGAAATAGCAACTGACCTTGACTTGATTGACGAGCTCAGAGATGAAGCTCGGATTCATGAAGAAGCCTACAAACTCCGAGCTTCCAGAAGATACAATACGCGAGTACGACCTCGCTCTTTCCGAGTTGGTGACCTGGTATGGCGACTATTAGGCGAAGCACAAAGAGACACATCAGACGGAAAGCTTGCACCCACCTGGGGTGGCGCATTCCGAGTTGTAGAAGACTTGGAGAACGGGGCATACCAACTAGAAGAACTCAGCGACAAACCCATCCCGCAAACTCGGAATGCCACGCATCTCAAGTTTTATTTCAGTTAACTTTGTATGAATGAGTTGTGCACTCTTTTCCCGACTCAGTCTTTTGTCCCCAAAAATAGAAAAATGGGTTTTGGCTGAGAGGATTTTTAACGAGGAACACGTAACATCAATAAAATAACTCATTCTTTTCCATTCATATCTTCTTAATTCTGCATCATTTCACCATAAGATACTCTATGCTAAACTGAGGTCAGGTTCGAACCTTGGTACGATTCACTTCACTCTAAACCGAGGTCGAGTTCGAACCTTGGCACGATTTATTTTACTTTACACCGAGGTCGAGTTCGAACCTTGGTACGACTTATTTCACTCTAAACCGAGGCCGAGTTCGAACCTCGGCACGATTTATTTTACTTTACACCGAGGTCAAGTTCGAACCTTGGTACGACTTATTTCACTCTAAGGCGAGGTCGAGTTCGAACCTTAGTAAGAGTTACTTTACACCGAGGTTGAGTTCGAACCTTGGTACGATTTCTTTCACTCTAAGCCGAGGTCGAGTTCGAACCTTGGTAAGAGTTACTTTACGCTAAACCGAGGTCGAGTTCGAATCGCGGTCTGAATCGCTCTATCTCGCCAAGGGTCGAGTTCGAACCTCAATACGAATTATTTACACCAGGCCAAGTTTGAGCCCCGAAAAAGCACAAAAAACACAAGGGCATAAGCAGAAGGTCAAATAGAACCACCGAAAGCACGAGGATAAAATCTCGAAATAAAAAATATTACATACACAACAATGTTTGCAGAGTTCAACACCTGAATCCAAAGAAAAAATCAAGAAGAACAAAATAAATTAAGCTGTTACAAAAATCGGCCTAGGCAGAGGCATTTT